GATGTAGCTTCTGCATTGCATTATCTTCATGATGATTGTGAGCCGATGGTTATTCATTGTGATCTAAAGCCAAGTAACATTCTGCTTGACAAAGACTTAACTGCTCATGTTGGCGACTTTGGTATATCAAGACTTTATTCACGCACAATTAGAGATCCAATTGGTGAACAAAGTAGTACCATTGGATTAAAGGGGTCAATTGGTTATGTTCCACCAGGTAAGAATATTGTCATAAAACTTTACCACTTGTTTCATAACTAGTTAGCTTAAGAGAAAAAGTCATATTCATATATCATATCTTATGTTGAAGAAGTTCTTTCCCAAAAATTAAAATGCTCTATTAATTTTTTTTTATCATTTGCTTTGTTTGTTTTCACAAATAATTTGGATTTAGAGTACGGGATAGGAGCAAAGGCATCAACTTCTGGAGATGTGTATAGCTTTGGTATTCTTTTGTTGGAAATGTTCACAGCTAAGAGACCCACGGATGATATATTCAATGGTGAATGTAGCCGTCTTTGTGAGTATGTGGAGATGGCGTTACCAGAGGAAGTGATAGAGATAGTAGACCCATCGCTTTCAGCATGCCTAGAAAGCAATCACGGGATAACACCGGATGTAGAGTTGGGGAATCATGGCAATTTGGTGGAAATTGAAGAGAGCAAGGTGCATAACTTCTTTCTCTCCATCTTCAAAATTGGGCTCACTTGTGCTTCAACGTCACCAATGGATCGCATGCGTATGAATGAAGTGAGCAGGCAATTACAGAAGATTAAGAAGGCCTTCTTTGCTTAAAATTAAGCAAACATGTATTCTGACATACAATATCTCCAAGGTTGAACTAGCTAGCAATTAAGAAAAGCTTGTTTTTTAATTTTCCTAATATATGTTGCTCTAAATTTCTTTTGATGTAAACTTTTTCTTGTATTACTCTTTTGTTGTATGATGGGAACAAGCTGCAAACATTTACTATACATGTTCTTATATTATGTGTTGTAATTTGGTTTAAAGTTTGTATAATCAGTTATCATTTTAATTATTGTTTCTAAAACTGGTTATTTCTCTCATTATTTAGTTTCATTCTATACCCACTATAATTTCATTACAATAATGAGATTTTGAAATCTTACATGCTTACTTGCTAAGATATGATAGCTCCTAGCCGGCCGAGAACAATATTGCAGTACCGATTACTTTTCACACATAAATTCAGGAGAGCAACGTAACAGCTGCATCCTCCTTAGCTCTTCAAGATCCCAACTGTACTCCAGAATCTCAACCAGAAATTGGATCCCTCCTTCCTCAAAAATTTCTCTTCTTCCATAAAAAATGTCAGAAAGATTAGATAAAACACAAACTGCTTCATCAACCATCCCAAAAGCACCAGAAGAGATTGACCCATTCCTAGAAAGACATAGAGTGTGAGATGATGCAGGGGTGATTAAGATTTGATTTTGGCCTAGCTGGGAGTCTTCATCAGCAGATGATGCATTATTCACCAATGGAAGCATAGAAAGATGGCTGTCTGAGTTTTTCAATCCATCTTCACAACTCTTGCAATTGAATTTTTAATAATAATAATAATAATAACCTACTAATTTTATATCATGTTTGCAGAATTGCAATGTAATAGGTCTTTTTTTAGAGTTGTTATTCTATTCCCGACCAATATTTTCTATAAACTAAATGTGTTGCAAATTAAGATGTTTGGTTGGATGTAATTGGAATTCTTTTCCAATGCAATTCAATAAGAAAGAAAATTATATTGTTTGGTGGGAGGGAATTGCAATTCATTCCACCCATTGAATTGAAATTCATACCCCCTACCCATGAATTCTAATTCAATACAAGAAGGAAATGAGAAAAATAGGAAATTGACATATTTGTCCTCAATTATTATTATTATTATTATTATTATTATTTTTTTTTTTTTTTATGAAAGCTTAAGTGTATATCATCACCTAACAAAGGCAGGTTAGCCATACAAAGTTTCTTGGCCCAAAAGTGACCAAGTATCGTAATGCAAGGGGCATGCTGCCCTACAGGACTTGGCCCCAAAGTGGCCAAAATTTGAACGATCATTAAAGAAATTAAGTTGCCTTACAAAACAGCAAGGCCATTCGGCTATTCAGAATCCAAAAAACAAACCAGAGCACATCTTCATCCTAGTGCATAACCTTGATCTTCCCAAGAACAAGTTTGTAAGTGTAGCCCTCTTTTTACACGCCATTCATACCACCAGCCTTGCATTAGCTGCTAGCCCAAGCACTTGTTTTATCTAGTCCCACTTCATTGCCATTGGTCCTTCACCCATTCATGCCATTATCCCTCATGCCATTCCAAGGAGATCTTAAACTTTGCCCCTAGACTTTCACCCTTCATGACCCCTAAGCCTTTACCCCAAAAGCACGAGGTCAATCCCTCCGCACAGATAACTGTGTTTTACCGGAGGGACCATTTATGCCCCCACTTAAGGCAATAAAGCCCACCCTTAACTTACAAGATGGTACTCCTTGCTGGTGCAAAACACTTGCACAAGGAGCCCATGTGACCTTATAAGCCAAGCAATGGTAGCTTAGGAACACTATTCTTGAGCCGCAAGATGGTGCCCCCTACTAATGCCAAGACTGCATAGGGAGACCATTTCTCCTTGTTGTTCAAGCAATAGTGGAGCTCAGTGCAGCCACAAGACTGAACCAAACATCAAAGATTCTTCCATTGCCTGATTTTTTTTTTTTTATCATTCTTCTTTCTGCCACTTTTTTCTTTTTCTTTTTTCTGTTTTCAATTCATTCTCTTTATCCTTAGAAAGCCTCCCCAAGCCCCCATCAGAGTTTAGACTAGAGGCAAAGCCAGACCTTCTCAGATGGCAACTAAAACCATCATTCACAAACCCAAGGACATAGCCTAGGAATCATTCTTATTCTTCAAGATGAAACCCCTTACTAGTGCAAGAGCACTTGCATAAGGGGATCATTTACCCTTGGAGGATAAGCAATGTTCAAGAATTCTATTTTTGTTATTATTATTATTATTATTATTATTATTATTATTATTATTATTATTATTATTATTATTATTACATCACAATGGCATTTTAGTCTTTATATCATTTTTTTCCCTTTCCATTCCTAATAATTCTATTCATCCATATCAAACAATGTAATTTGAATTCTTACTTTATTCCACTTTATTCAATTTTCACAAAATTACAATTCTTTCATTCTTAATTCCTTCCTCCTAACCAAACACTATGTTTGAATTAGTGTGAGAAACTTCCAGGGGCCGTTTACTAACGGGAAATTTCTGAAAAATTCTGGAAAACTGGAAAATAGAAAATAGAAAACATGTTTACTAACATAGTTTTCCATTTTGAAAACTGAAAATAATTTTTGAAAATTTCTGGAAAACTGGAACACACATAAAAACTATTTTCAAAATGAAAAACAGAATCATCTATCATCTATTTAGTTATATGTCACTATAACCACATTACTATGATTACATTCATTATCATCTTATTTTATTTATCACTATCTTCTATCTTTTCTACTTATTTTACTTATTTAAACATAATTTATTTGCTTACACTTTAAAGTTAGACACTATTTACATTATCAAAATTAAGAATTAAACTCTATATAATGTTTTAGATTTTGATTGAACTCAATAGATTATTAGTTCGAATATTTTTAATTATGCTACATCATAATTCATAATACAAGTTCAGTCCAGATATCGGATATTGAAATTTCACATATATTAGAATTCAAAGTAAAAGGTATATATATTCATATACATGTCATTCAAATGAATATATCCAAAAAAATAATTTAAATATTAGCTAAAAAAATATTAATATTATCTAAATTAAATTTTAGGTGAAAACTGGAAAATTATAAAACAGAAAACAGAGAACTGTTTTCTGTTTAGTAAACAAGTTTTCTAAAAAGAAAACAGTTTTCTGTTAGTAAACGGATCCCCAATTTCTCACCACCATATTCCAGTCTTGTTTTGTTTGTTTTCCAAAGTGCTTTTGAGGTTTGACCACCAAATTCCAAGTCTTCCACTTTGTGGTTTAATTATCTTAGCTTTTTTGGTTGACGTCAAGTCAACTTAAGCTACTCATTTCCCTGAAAGAAAACAAAGTTAATTATTATTATAGATTTGAATATTTATTGATTGATTTATAATTTGGTATTTATGGTCCAAGTTTTACAAAATATATAGCTGAATTGGTATATAACTATTATTTAATATTTTTATCCAATCAATACAATTTTTTTTCCCGTGATGAGAGAAATCTCTAACTTGCCACTACTCAATAAAGGTATGACAAGAATTCATGAACTCGTGACCTTTAGATATGAAAATAATGCTCAATCTATTCGGTCATCTCTTTGTTTTTGTTTGTTTGTTTGCCTCTTTTTTTTTAGCTTCATTTTTTCACTGAGTTTCATTATAGCAATACCAAAAAATCATTTTAATTATACTACAGTTTTATTTGATAATATACATTATTACATTAGCTCTATTTTTTTGTTTCATTCGTCCTACATTTATTCCGTCAACCATGGTTAACCTCATCCCAAATTGTCAATGACTTTGTGCTTTAGCCACACTAATTGTTCTCCTATATAAGAGGTTGTGATTCGAGCCTCAGTATTTAATATATGGAGAAAGTAATTATGAACAAATCCTGCATTACAGTAGTTCTCAAAAAAAAAAAAAAAAAAATCACCTCAAATTAATAAGTGCTCTAAACCACCATATTCCAATCTTCCACTATGAGATTTCTCTATTTCTCTTGACAAGAAATTAAATACTAAAATATATGACCCCATCTTCTTACGCACCATATTCCAGTCTTCCACTATGAGATTTGCCTCCTCCGCTATTCAACTTACCAATTAACAGTACGCATATCAGATTCGATCTTGATTTACCATTTCTATATAAACAATATAATATACACCCTACCCTGTCACAAAAACACACATCATCACTCTCTTCTTTCTCTAACTAAATAATCCATCTTTTTGAACTATGGAGGTGATGATGAAGAAGATGAGGCATGAGAAAACCCTCTCATTCTTTTATTTCTCATCAGCTGCTCTTTGTACTCTCCATCTTCTTCTCTTTTCCTTAATATGTAGTGTTACCCTTATTCCTACTTCCTCATCATCATCATCAGCTGCTTTCTACTCATCAAATGAAACCGATAGACTTGCTCTTTTAGAGTTTAAACGCCGGATTTCTGATGATCCGCATGGAGTAGTTCTTAACTCCTGGAATGACTCTGTGCACCATTGTGGTTGGCAAGGAGTGAGTTGTGGCGTTGATGCTTCCTAAGAAGGGGTTGGTGGGAACCATATCACCTCATATTGGGAATCTCACTTTCCTCAAGGTTCTTTATCTCAATGGCAATAATTTGTACGGTGAAATTCCAGGAGAGATTGGTGGTTTGTTTCGACTAAGATCTCTCTACTTGTCTACGAATGCACTGACGGGAGAACTGACTAAGCTTAATCTTAGCAGCTGCGTACACCTTGGGGAACTCTATTTGGCTCATAATCACCTCCAGGGGAACCTCCCTACTGCATTCCAATTCCTACCTAATTTGAAGAAGCTACAAAAACTAGCTCTGGGTAGTAACAGATTGACAGGTGGAATTCCTCCCACTTTTGGGAATTTGTCATCACTTCGAACGTTGGGCTTGGAGGTGAATCATTTGAAGGGACGTATTCCGCATGAGATTACGCGGTGTTGGGATTTAAATATCCTTTCACTTGGCGTCAACAATTTGACTGGTACACTATCTCCTTCTTTCTTCAATATGACTTCTATACAAGTTTTTTCAGTATCCCAAAACACACTGGAAGGGACCATTCCAAGCTACATAGGAGACACCATGCCAAACTTGGAAATATTCGAAATTGGTGGCAACAAATTCCATGGAACCATCCCTATTTCATTTCCGAACGCCTCTAAGCTTCAAATTTTTGAGGTATCAGGAAACCATCTTGTAGGTAAAGTTCCAAATAATATTGGAAGGTTAAAATATCTTCAAGATTTGCAACTTTGGCAAAATCTTCTTGGTAGCAATGATCCCCTCAATGACTTGGCTTTTATAACATCTTTGTCCAATTGTAGTAATTTAAATAAGTTTTCCATTCGTGAAAATAGATTTGAAGGTAAATTTCCAAACACCATAGCTAACCTCTCATCCAAACTCCATTACCTATATCTTGGAGGGAATAAGATATTTGGTACAATACCCGGAGCAATAAAAAATCTAGTTAGCTTGGTCGCTTTCGATATAGGAAGCAGTCTATTATCAGGTGTTATTCCTAGTGAAATAGGTGAATTGCATAAACTACAAGGTCTGATTCTTGAAACAAACACATTATCTGGAAAAATTCCACTCACTCTTTTTAACCTTACTTCTCTAGCTGCAATTTATTTGGATAACAACAATTTTGATGGCAATATACCCTCAAATGTGGAAAACTTGAGGAATTTGAATGAATTGTACATGTACAATAACAAACTAGATGGCACCATTCCTCAACAAGTTTTTAATTTGCCATCTTTGTCTAAGTACCTTGACCTTTCCCGTAATTCATTCACTGGTCCGTTATCTCATGCCGTGGGTAAATTGAAAACACTAAATACCTTAAACATCTCTGGAAACAAATTGTCGGGCGAAATTCCATATACAAATGGAGATTGTTTGAGCCTTGAATATCTTGATATGCATGGTAATCTCTTTGAAGGTAAAGTCCCACCTTCTTTGGTTTCCTTAAAAAGCATTACATATTTGGATATCTCAAACAACAAGTTGACTAGAGAGATACCAAGAGACCTCCAAAAGCTCCCTCTCTTGCAATATTTGAACCTTTCTTTCAATGATCTAGAGGGGGAAGTACCAATAGTTGGAGTGTTTTCAGTGGCAACCAATGTATCATTGCTTGGAAACAAAAAGCTATGCGGTGGTATACCTGAGCTAAGGCTGCCTCCATGTCCTGTGAAGAAAACAAAACACAGAAAGCATTTTAAGCATATGATTGTTATCTTCACATGTATCTGCTCGGCTCTGGTGTTTGCATCATTCATTGCTTTTCTAACATTGTGTTGGAGGAAAGGAAAAAGGATGGAGTCAGCTAAGCCATCCAAAGTTGAAAAGCTTTCCAAAATCCCTTATAGAGACCTACATCAAGCTACTCATGGTTTCTCTGACACAAATTTGATCGGTTCGGGAAGTTTTGGCTCTGTTTACAAAGGAAGATTTGAGCAAGGTGGAGTAGAACAAACAATTGCGGTGAAGGTACTTGCCCTTTTAAAAAATGGAGCTTCAAAGAGCTTTCTTGTAGAATGTAAAGTGTTGAGGAACATACGCCACCGAAATCTTGTTCCAATTTTGACTTGCTGCTCGAGTTGTGATTTTGCAGGTAATGAATTCAAAGCTTTGGTTTATGAGTTCATGGAAAATGGGGATTTGGATATGTGGTTGCATACACAATCATCTAATGCAAGGGCAAACCTTCTAAGTGTTCTTCAAAGGTTAAACATTGTAATTGATGTATCTTCTGCATTGCATTATCTCCATAATGATTGTGATCCGGCTGTTATTCATTGTGATCTAAAGCCAAGTAACATTCTGCTTGACAATGACTTAACTGCCCATGTTGGAGACTTTGGTATATCAAGACTTTATTCACGTACAATTGGAGATACAATTGGTGAACAAAGTAGTACCATTGGATTAAAGGGGTCAATTGGTTATGTTCCACCAGGTAAGAATATTGTCATTAGACTTTACCACTTGTTTCCATAACTAGCATATCGATCTTATGTTGAAGAAGTTTTTTCCCAAATATTAAAATGCTCTATTAATTTTATTTTATTTTTATTTGCTTTGTCTGTTGTTGCAAATAATTTGGATTTAGAGTACGGGATAGGAGCAAAGGCATCAACTTTTGGAGATATGTATAGCTTTGGAATCCTTTTGCTGGAAATGTTTACAGCTAAGAGACCCACGGATGATTTATTCAATGGTGAATGTAGCAGTCTTTGTGAGTATGTGGAAATGGCGTTGCCAGAGCAAGTTATGAAGATTGTTGATCCATTGCTTCTAGCATGCCTAGAAAGCAATTGTGGAGAAAGATCGCACAATGATGTGGAGATTCATGGCAATAAATTGGTGGAAATTGAAGAGAGCAAAACCCACAACTTCTTCCTCTCCATCTTCAAAATTGGGCTCAATTGTGCTTCAACATCACCAATAGATCGCATGCATATAAATGATGTAACCAAGGAATTACACAAGATTAAGAAGACCTTTTTTTCATAAAAACAAGAGTATACATCTCTTGTGATCTAACAATGTTTCCACTGGTGAACTAGCAATTATGTTAAGTTTGTTATTTATTTGGACTAATAAATGTTGCTCTGTTTTTCTTTTGCTATAAACCTTTTTTTGGGCTCTTCTTTTGTTATATGAAGCAACAAATATTTTCTATAAAGTCCGTTTGAAAACTCAAACCTGAAAAATATTTTTCAAAAAATATTTTAATTTTACATGGTTAAAATAATTTACACCTGAAAAATATTTTTCAAAAAATATTTTAATTTTACATGATTAAAATAATTTACAACTTGATATTACGATATTCACAAATCAAAACAAAAGATGAATCCTGGGAAAGTACAATCTCAATACAAAAATCTGGAGATATTCTATGCAACAGAAGGTGTTTGCTTGTTCTTATACAAGAAGCTCTTTTTGACTTTCTGACTCGATGATAACATCTTTCATAAGTATTCCATCCAATGGGGATGTAGAAGCACAAGAGAGCCCGATTTTGAAGATGGAGAAAAAGAAAGTATGCATCTCGCTCTCTTTAATTTTCAGCAAATTTCCATCACTGTCCAACATTTTATCCCATCCATGGTTTCTTTCTAGGTATGTTAGAAGCAATGGGTCTACTATCTTCATCACTTGCTCTGGCAATGCTGATGCTACATACTCATAGAGACTACATTCATCATTGAATAAATCCGTGAGTCGCTTTGCAGAGAACATTTCCAGCAAAAGAATTTCATAACTATATATATCTCCAAATGTTGATGCATTTGTGCTCGTCGCATATTCTAGATCAAAATAATTTGCAAAGAAAAAACAAATTAAACCAAATGTAAAAATAAAGCATCTATTATAGTTTTAGTTTGGTAAAGAACTAAACCATAACTGGAAGTTTATAGAAATGACTATATGGTAAAGCTTTAATTAAAAAAAAAATAGTTACCTGGTGGAACGTAGCCTATGGTCCCATTTAATCTGACAGTACTAGATGAATCTTCAATTGTTGGTGCATAAAACATTGATGATCCAAAATCTCCAACATGAGCAGTTAAGTCCTTGTCAAGAAAAATATTACTCAGTTTCAAATCACGATGAATAACGGGTGGTTCACAATCATTGTGAAGATAATCCAATGCTGAAGCTACATCAATAGCAATGTTTAACCTTTGAAGAGGAGTCAGAACATTTGTTCTTCCGGCAGAATGTGTATGCAACCACGTATCAAGATTCCCATTTTCCATAAACTTATAAACTAGAGCTTTGAATTCGTTACCATCAAAATCATAGCTTGAGCAGCATGTCAAAATTGGAACAAGATTTCTATGGCGTATGTTTCGTGATACCTCACATTCAGAATGAAAGCTCATTGAAGCACCATTTTTTAGAAGGTCAAGAACCTTTATCGCAAAAGTTTGTTCCCCACCTTGCTCAAGTTTTCCTCTATAAACAGTGCCAAAACTTCCAGAACCAATCAAATTTTTATAACAGAAACCTTCAGTCGCCTTATGCAAGTGGCTGTAAGAGATCCTGAAAAACTTTTCAGTGATGGGCAGCTTAAAGGATTTCCTCCTAGTCTCAATTGTAGATGGGAACCCAAAAGAGGTTGATGAGGGTGAAGGCACCACAATTCCATCACCAATAGTTGTAAGCAAAAAGTTTGAATTAGATCTTTCCCTGGATACACGAGTAGTTTGATCATGGGCAAGATGGGAATCTTCATCAGGTGATGACACAGTATTTGTATACAGTGACATATAGAAGTCATTAACTGATTTTTCACTTGAGTCTCTTGAAAGTTCCACCCAATCTTTGGCCAGAATCAAACCTTTTCTTATGCAATACTCTCTTAAGTGGTTAAGAAGTCTCTGTGCCTGCAAGTAGACAAAAACAAGTCATCAAAACAAATCCAAAATTGGGATGTATTAAAATCCTTCATGCTAGATGGTTAGCATCACACCAATTGTCTTGCTCTGGGGTTACTGCAGTCTGCAGCGGGACAATTCTATTAGCCGGATCGGAGAACCAATTTGCAGCAATGCCTGTAGTTAGTGCATAATTGCAGGAGAGCAACAGCTGCATCCTCCTTAGCTCTTGGATCCCTCCTTCCTGACAACAATTTTGGTGATTTACAATCATTGTGAAGATAATGTGTTAATACCTGGTGGAATGTAATCTATGGAACCCTGTAGTCCGACAGTACAAGCCTGTTTTCCATCTTCAATTGTTGGTGAATAAAACCCTTGATAATCCAAAATCTCCAACACAAGCAGTTAAGTCTTCGTCAAGAAAAATATTGCTCGGCTTCAAATCACAATGAATAACGGGTGTTGGTGGTTTACTATCATTGTGATCGAAGATAATCCAATGTAGAAGTTATATCAATAGCAATGTTTAATCTTTGAAGAACACATAGAACATTTGTCTTTGCAGCAGATTGTGTATACAACCACCGTATCAAGGTTCCCATTTTCCATAAACTTATAAACTAGAGCTTTGAATTCATTATCTTCAAAATCCTGGACAGGCTGTAAAAGCTGTCGGAAAGCTCTTGAAGATCCCAACTCGAGAATCTCAACCAGAATAGGGATCCCAGCCTCCTTCTCGACAAATTTCTGAACTTCCCTCAAAAATGGAAGAAAGATTAGACAAATTAAAACTGACAACATGTGACATTTAATTTTGAGTATACACTTAGTGTGTGTTTAGTTTGCATATAAGAATGGAAATTGGAATATAGATTAAAATATAAACGGGAATGAGTCCTAACAAATGGTATTAGAATCAGGTTACAAATTTGATAAGTCCTAAGAAGATATTGATTTTTGCAACCTCTTAACAAGAAAACCAAATGACACGGCATGCAGTCAAATTTGAACTTGTCGCCAACTATATGCAAACCCAATTTATTGTGTTAAGAGAGACTGAGTTGACGAAGACGAATCATGAGAAAACCATATCTGTCATATATGCATGCATGGCGTATAGTATATATGGAGCAGGAATTATATATTCAAACGTATTTGCCTCCCCTATTCAACTTGTCAAACACTGCAAGCATATCACTTTAAATTCTTGGGTGACCGAGTACTTCCATGAAGTTTCTGCCATGGACTTACATTTTAATAATTTAAAATATTCTCTAATGCTCCTTGAAAAAATAACTCATGAGGTGAATTATCAGTTTTTTTTTTTTTTTATGACTACAATTTAATTAATCTATCTGTAGCATCTGCCCAACAATATGAGATATTGACATTCTTGATTTGATCTTTCATTTATAAGGGTTATGATACGTCAATCAAATCACAAAGTATTATTAACACATTGTTTTTCCCTTAGTTTTGAACAAGCTAAGTATTGACGTGAAAGTGGGTGTCAGTTAGGTCATGACTTACAGAATAATTAATGTGCACACAAAATTATTGAATTGGCGTATGGAACATGGTATGAGGTGTATTTAATTTGCCTCTACTTACACGCATATCAGAAATTTCTTGGGTGACGGACTCCATTTTGATTTAGCACATCTATATAAGCAATATATAATACCCTGTGAGAAAAACACATCATTCACTCTCTTGTTTATCTAAATCCCATCTATCTTTTTGAATTCTAGTTCAGAGATGAAGAAGATGAGCCATGAGAAAACCCTCTCCTCACTCTTTTATTATCTTCTGTTTTGCTTAATATGCAGTGTTTCCCTTATTCCCACTTCCTCCTTAGTATCATCACCTATTCTCTACTCAAATGAAACCGATAGACTTGCTCTTTTAGAGTTTAAAGACCGGATTATTTCTGATGATGATCCCAATGGAGGAGTAGTTCTTAACTCCTGGAATGACTCTGTGCACCATTGTGGTTGGCAAGGAGTGAGGTGTGGTCGTCGACACCCACGAGTTGTGGCGTTGAGGCTTCCTGAGATGGGGTTGGTGGGAACCATATCTCCTCATATTGGAAATCTCACTTTCCTCAGGCTTCTTCATCTCAGTGACAATAATTTGTACGGTGAAATTCCAGTAGAGATTGATGGTTTGTTTCGACTAAGATATCTCGACCTATCTGAGAATGCACTGATGGGAGAAGTGGCTAAGCTTAATCTCAGCAGCTGCGTACACCTTAGGGAACTCTATTTTCATGGGAATGGCCTGCAGGGGAACCTCCCTACTGCATTCCAATTCCTACCTAGTTTGAAGAAGCTACAAACACTCTCTCTGGGTACCAACAGATTGACAGGTAGAATTCCTCCCACTATTGGGAATTTGTCATCACTTCAAGGGTTGGACTTGGAGATGAATCATTTGGAGGGACGTATTCCGCATGAGATTACGCGGTGTTGGGGTTTAAATTTTCTTTCACTTGGCGTCAACAATTTCACTGGTACACTATCTCCTTCTTTCTTCAATATGACTTCTATACAAAGTTTTTCAGTAGTGGTAAACTCACTTCATGGGACCATTCCAAGCGACATAGGAGACACCATGCCAAACTTGGAAGGCTTTCATTTTGCTGAAAACAAATTCCATGGAACCATCCCTATTTCATTTCCCAATGCCTCAAAGCTTCAAATTCTTGAGTTATCACGGAACTATTTTGTAGGGAAAGTTCCAGATAATATTGGAAAGTTAAAAGATCTTGTATCTTTGAACCTTGGCTACAATCTTCTTGGTAGCAATGATCCCCTCAATGACTTGGTTTTTATAACATCTCTGTCCAATTGTAGTAATTTTAAGTTATTTATCATTCAAGAAAATAGATTTGAAGGTAAATTTCCAAACACCATAGCTAACCTCTCATCCAAACTCCAAACCCTATATCTAGGACATAATAAGATATTTGGTACAATACCCGGAGCAATAAAAAATCTAGGTAGCTTGATCGGTTTCATTATAAAGGACAATCTATTATCAGGTGTTATTCCTAGTGAGATAGGTGAATTGCATAAACTACAATTTTTGGATCTTAGTATAAACCAATTATCTGGAAAAATGTCACTCACTCTTTTTAACCTTACTTCTCTAGCTTCACTTTTTTTGGATAACAACAATTTTGATGGCAATATACCACCAAATGTTGAAAACTTCTGGAATTTGAATGAATGTGTCTTGTCCAATAACAAACTAGATGGCACCATTCCTCAACAAGTTTTTAATTTGCCATCATTGTCTAAGTACCTTGACCTTTCCCGTAATTCATTTACTGGTCCGTTATCTCCCGCCGTGGGCAAATTGAAAACACTAAATGCCTTAGACATCTCTCAAAACAAATTGTCGGGCGAAATTCCACAAACAATTGGAGATTGTTTGAGCCTTGAATATCTTTATATGCATGATAATCTCTTTGAAGGTAAAGTCCCACCTTCTTTGGTTTCCTTAAAAAGCATTACGTATTTGGATATCTCAAACAACAAGTTGACTGGAGAGATTCCGAGAGACCTCCAAAGGCTCCCTCTCTTGCAATATTTGAATCTTTCTTTCAATGATCTGGAAGGTGAGGTGCCAACAAATGGAATTTTTGCTAAGGCAAACCATGTATCATTGGTTGGAAACAAAAAACTTTGTGGTGGTATACCTGAGTTAAAGCTGCCTCCATGTCCTGTGAAGAAAACAAAACACAAAAATCATTTAAAGCTTATGATTGTTATCTTCACATGTATCTGCTCGGCTCTGGTGTTTGCATCATTCATTGCTTTTCTAACATTGTGTTGGAGGAAGGGAAAAATGATGGAGTCGGCAAAGCCATCCAAAGTTGAAAAGCTTTCCAAGATCCCTTATAGAGATTTGCATCAAGCTACAGATGGATTCTCTGAGACAAATTTGATCGGTTCGGGAAGTTTTGGCTCTGTTTACAAAGGAAGATTTGATGAGCAAGGTGGAGGAGAACAAACAATTGCGGTGAAGGTACTTGACCTTTTAAAAATTGGAGCATCAAAGAGCTTTCTTGCAGAATGTAAAGTGTTGAGGAACATACGCCACCGAAATCTTGTTCCAATTTTGACTTGCTGCTCGAGTTGTGATTTTGCAGGTAATGAATTCAAAGCTTTGGTTTATGAGTTCATGGAAAATGGGGATTTAGATATGTGGTTGCATACACATTCATTTAATGCAAGGACAACCGTTCTAAGTGTTCTTCAGAGGTTAAACATTGCAATCGATGTAGCTTCTGCATTACATTATCTCCATGATGATTGTGAGCCGACGGTTATTCATTGCGATCTAAAGCCAAATAACATTCTGCTTGACAAAGACTTAACTGCTCATGTTGGAGACTTTAGTATATCAAGACTTTATTCACGTACAATTGGAGAATCAATTGGTGAACAAAGTAGTACCATTGGATTAAAAGGGTCAATTGGTTATGTTCCACCAGGTAAGAATATTGTCATAAAACTTTACCACTTGTTTCCATAACTAGCTAGCTTAAGAGAAAAAGTCATATTCATATATCATATCTTATGTTGAAGTTCAGAAGTTCTTTCCCAAAAATTAAAATGCTCTATTAATTTTATTTTTTTCATTTGCTTTGTTTGTTTTCACAAATAATTTGGATTTAGAGTACGGCATAGGAGCAAAGGCATCAACTTTTGGAGATGTGTATAGCTTTGGAATCCTTTTGTTGGAAATGTTCACAGCTAAGAGACCCACAGATGATTTATTCAATGGTGAATGTAGCAGTCTTTGTGAGTATGTGGAGATGGCGTTACCAAAGGAACTTATGCAGATTGTTGATCCATTGCTTCTAGCATGCCTAGAAAGCAATTGTGGAGAAAGACTGCACAAAGATGTGGAGATTCATGGCAATAAATTGGTGGAAATTGAAGAGAGCAAAACCCACAACTTCTTCCTCTCCATCTTCAAAATTGGGCTCACATGTTCTTCAACATCACCAATGGATCGCATGCATATGAATGATGTGACCAAGGAATTACACAAGATTAAGAAGGCCTTCTTTGCATAAAAATAAGCATACATCTCTTGTGATCTAGCAATGTTTCCACTGGTGAACTAGCAATTATGTTAAGTTTGTTATTTATTTGGACTAATAAATGCTGTTGTGTTTCTTTTGCTATAAACTTTTTTTTTACTCTTCTTTTGTTATATGAAGCAACAAATATTTTCTATAAGATCTGTTTGAAAACCTGAAAAATATTTTTCGAAAAATATTTTGATTTTACATAGTGAAAATAATTTGCCACTTGATATTACAATATTCACAAATCAAAACAAAAGATGAACCCTGGGAAAGTACAATATCAATACAAAAATCTGGAGATATTCTATGCAATAGAAGGTCTTTGTTTGTTCTTATACAAGAAGCTCTTTTTGATCTTGTGTAACTCGATGATAACATCTTTCATAAGTATTCGATCCAATGGGGATGTAGAAGCACAAGAGAGCCCGATTTTGAAGATAGAGAAAAAAGAAAGTATGCATCTCGTTCTCCTTAATTTTCAGCAAATTTCCATCATTGTCCATCATTTATTCCCATCCACGGTTTCTTTCTAGGTATGTTAGAAGCAATGGGTCTACCATCTTCATCACTTGCTCTGGCAATGCTGATGCAACATACTCATAGAGACTACTATACATTCATCATTGAATAAATCCGCGAGTCACTTTGCAGAGAACATTTCCAGCAAAAGAATTCCATAACTATATATATCTCCAAATGTTGATGCATTTGTGCTCGTCGCATATTCTAGATCAAAATAATTTGCAAAGAAAAAACAAATTAAACCAAATGTAAAAATAAAGCATCTATTATAGTTTTAGTTTGGTAAAGAACTAAACCATAACTGGAAGTTTATAGAAATGACTATATGGTAAAGCTTTAATTAAAAATATGTTAGTTACCTGGTGGAACGTAGCCTATGGTCCCATTTAATATTACAGTACTAGATGAATCTTCAATTGTTGGTGCATAAAACATTGATGATCCAAAATCTCCAACATGAGCAGTTAAGTCCTTGTCAAGAAAAATATTAATCGGTTTCAAATCACGATGAATAACGGGTGGTTCACAATCATTATGAAGATAATCCAATGCTGAAGCTACATCAATAACAATGTTTAACCTTTGAAGAGCAGTCAGAACATTTGTTCTTGCGGCAGAATGTGTATGCAACCACGTATCAAGATTCCCATTTTCCATAAACATATAAACTAGAGCTTTGAATTCGTGCTGGCAAGCAATTGGAGTTCAGCTGCTGCATTGCTGAGCACATCAGTAGAAGTGACCTGCAAGTCCTCAACAAGCTTCTTAACATGATTTTCAACTTCCACACGATAAGCCCTAGCTTCAGAGGAAGAAACCATTCTTGGAACAAGGCTTTCACATGCTCTGCGCAAGATTGACTGAAGATGAGATCGTAGCCCCACTGGGGTTAGGAAATAATAAACCTCACTTCCATCATCAATAGCTGCAGATGAAAAGCTTGAATTATGCAGATTACTGAGAACAGAGGAAGTTTGACGATGGCCCAGATAGGATTCTTCATCATCTGATGATGCCACAGAAAAGTAATTAACTGAGCTTATACTTCCGTTTCCTGAGAACTCTTCAGAACTCAGCACATAACGTACAAAACCGGGCAACGATTCATCAGAAGACAAACGGGGATGAGATGGAGATGATGATCCTCTTGGGATTACACTAGAATGGATTGAACTCTTATGGCCTTGTTGGTTGTCTTCATCAGCAGATGACAGATTATTCATTAAAGGAATTATAGAAAATTGGTTAACGAAGTTCGCCAATCCGTCTTCAAAACTCTTAACTGACATCCTCTCAATATCAAACCCCAACTCATTACCAGCATTTCTGGGCAAAGATTCCTCTGATAACAGACTGCTTTGAGATGGAGATAATGTCCCTCTTTGAATTGAACTCGATGACCTTGAACTTTTCCTAGGGATACCTAAATAGCAATTTAAATCAGGTACTCAAGATTTCACATGCACAATAACAGAAGAAGGTTGGTTCAGCTCAGAGATTTTATGGGCTATGGCACCTTTATGTTCTTTGATTCACACAATTTGCAATCACGGCCTTTAAAGAGTTTAATTAGGAGTAAATTCAGGCTGCAAATTTCTTCAGAACTATACTTCTTAAAGAATGGACATGAGAAAGTTCTTGACATTCATAAATAAAGTAAATTGACAAGGTGCCATTTGAGCTTCTATTGACCATAGGAGTTTTTCATTTTCCAGATCTCAACAAACCCTTTGATACCTGTGAAATAGGATTGTTTCTGCATATACAATTTCCATCATCACATTTACTAAAACCATTTCATCTCCTTCCTGAAACACACTAAGTTGTCCAAACTTTATATCTATACATCATCAGCTTTTGACTACATTGACAAAAAAAAACAACATTAAACTATATTTGGCTAATTAGGCAACAAATTTACATTAAATTAATCCCAACTTCACATAATCACATGTGATGATATTTCTATCAATACATGTTTTCTTATTCTTATGCAAGAAGCTATTTTTATCTCTTGTAACTCTCTGGCAACATCTTTTTTATCTTATGTAACTCTTTGGCAACATCTTCCATACGCATTCGATCTAATGGCGATGTAGAAGCACAAGAGAGCCCGATTTTGAAGATGGAGAGGAAGAAACTATGCATATTATTCTCTTCAAATTTCACCAAATTTCCATAACTGTCTGACAATTTATCCGATCCATGGATGCTTTCTAGGTACGCTAGAAGCAATGGGTCTACGATGTTCATCACTCGCTCTGGCAATGCTGTTGCAACATACTTACAGATGCTACATTCATTACTGAATAAATTATCCGTGGGTCGCCTTGCAGTGAACATTTCCAACAACAGAATTCCAAAACTATATACATCTCCAAATGTTGTTGCCTTTGCTCCCATCCAATATTCTAGATCCAAATGATTTGCCAAGAAAAACAAATTAAAACATATGTAAAATAAAGCCTTTAATATAGTTGGTAAAGAACTAAAACATGATTGGCAATTTCTAGAAATGATATGATTTTCCTTAATTAGATGGAAATATCAAATATATGGTAAAATTTTAATTAATAATGTGTCAATACCTGGTGGAACGTAATCTATGGAACCCTGTAATCCGACAATACAAGCCTGTTCTCCATCTTCAATTGTTGGTGAATAAAACCTTGATAATCCAAAATCTCCAACACGAGCAGTTAAATCTTTGTCAAGAAAAATATTGCTCGGCTTCAAATCACAATGAATAACTGGTGGTTTACAATCATTATGAAGATAATCCAATGTAGAAGCTATATCAATAGCAATGTTTAATCTTTGAAGAACACTTGGAACATTTGTCTTTGCAGCAGATTGTGTATACAACCACGTATCAAGGTTCCCATTTTCCATAAACTTATAAACTAGAGCTTTGAATTCATTACCTTCAAAATCATGGCCTACGCAGCATGTCAAAATTGGAACAAGATTTCTGTGACGTATGTTCCTTAATACTTCACATTCTGAATGAAAGCTCATTGAAGCACCATTTTTTAGAAGGTCAAGAACCTTTACCATTACAGTTGGTCCCAGACCTTGCTCAAATGTTCCACTATAAACAGTGCCAAAACTTCCATAACCAATCAAATTTGTGTTAGAGAAACTGTTAGTCGCCTCATGCAACACTCTGTAAGATACCTGCGTGTGAAAACTGGGACAACTGGAAAAAGAGTTGCCGTAAAACTTTTCAACATTGGATTGCTTAAAGATCTTGAAAAGCTTTGAAACCTCAGATAACTTAAAGGATTTCCTTCTTGTCTCAATTGTGGATGTGAACCTAAAAGAGGCTGATGAGTGTGAAGAAACCTCAATTCTATCACCAGCAGTTGCATGCAAACAATTTAAATTTGAATTTTCGTTGGATGCAGAAGTAGTATGATCATGGTGTAAATGGGAGTCTTCATCATCTGACGCCATAGTATGGTTAGAAAATTGACTAGCAGACTTCTTACTTATATCTCTTGAGAGTGCCAACCGGTCTTTATAAGTCTGAAGAGACATCCTCCCAAGATCCACACCCTGCCCATCACCTGAAATTCCAAGCAGAAGAGTTTGTGAAGAACAAAGATGAATTCTCTATTTGAATTGTACTATATGAGACAGAACTTCTCCAAGGGGAACCTAAAGGGGGAGTTGAACCAGTTCATTAAGACGTAGTTTGATTATGGTCGAAAATCAGTTAACAACACAATCCAAAATAAGAGCAGATATCATATGTGATAGATAGTTAGCATCAAACCTTTTCTATTGCAATACTCTCTTAAGTAGTTAAGAAGTCTTTGTGCCTGCAAGTAGACAAAAACAAGTTATCAAAACAATTAAAAATAAGGACATATCAAAACCATAATTGATAGATGGTTAGCATCACACCAATTGTCGTGCTCTGGGGTTACTGCAGTTGGACAACGCTGTTAATGGAGAGACAACTCCAAGCCGGAGAACCATATTGCAGCACTGCATGTTGTCAGTGCATAATTGCAGGAGAGCAACAGCTGCATCCTCTTTAGCTCTTGAAGATCCCAACTCCAGAATCTCAACCAGAATAGGGATCCCTCCTTCTCGACAAATTTCTGAACTTCCCTCAAAAATGGAAGAAAGATTAGACAAAATACAAACCGCTTCATCAACCAACCCAACATCAGGGTGCATCAACTCTATGAGGTACTTCACTGCACCTGCCTGCACAATACGATACTTGTGTTCATCAAGTATAGATAAGTAATACAAAGCTGTAGCTGCATCTTTCTTGCCACTGGGAGTTCCATTTGCCAATAATTCAACAACAGCTTTTATTGCCCTACAAATCTTAACCTTAAATCCCTCAATATCTGATAAGTTGAAAAGAGTGGCAACAGAGGTTTCTTGAGCCTCTGGGCTCCCAGTTGAAAGGACACGAATCAGTGGTTCAATTGCATCAGCATCAACTATCATACACTTGTTGTTATCATTAGCTGACAAGTGCAGAAGTGCTATAACAGCACTTTCCTGTAATTTTGTGTCTACGGAACGCAGAAGGTTAATCAACAAGCTGATGGCACCATGGTTTGCAATCAAAATCTGGTTGTCCGTATTCAGACTGGCAAGCAATTGGAGTTCAGCTGCTGCATTTCTGAGCACATCAGTAGAAGTGACCTGCAAGTCCTCAACAAGCTTCTTAATATGATTCTCGACTTCCACACGATATGCCGTTGCTTCAGTGGCAGAGGAAGAAACCATTCTTGGAACAAGGCTTCCACATGCTCTGCGGAAAATTGACTGAAGATGAGATTGTAGCCCCACTGGGGATAGGAAATAATAAACCTGATTTCCATCACCAATAGCTGCACGTAAAATGCTTGAATTCCCTGAGCTTATACTTCTCTTTCCTGAGCCTGTCAGCCACTCTTCATAACTCTTATGAGAATTCGTCTCCATGTCAAAACTCAGCATATAACGTGGAATACCGTACAAAGATTCATCAGAAGAGAAACGGGGGCGAGATGGAGATGATTCTCTTTGGATTGCACTAGAATGGAATGAACTTTGCCTAAGGTCAGTCGAGATTGTTGAAAGAGGTGACACAGAGATATAGCCCTGAGTATGAACTGAGCTCATACTTTTGTACCTATCTTGAGAACTCTCAAGAGACATAATCTCGTCATCGAACCACAGCTCATTAAAAGCTATTATGGGCAAAAATTCTCCAGAACACGAATGGGTACCAGACAGAGATGATCCCTCTCCTTGATATGCACTAGAAGAGATAGAACTATTCCTAGAAACACGTAGAGCGCAAGATGAATCAGGTGATGCAGAGGTGGTTTGATTATCGCCTTGCTGGGAGTCTTCAGCAGCAGATGACACATTATTTATCAATGCTCCAAAAGAGATCGAACTATTCCTAGAAACACGTGGAGTGCAAGATGAAGCAGGTGATGCAGTGGAGGTTTGATTAAGGCCTTGCTGGGAGTTTTCATTAGCAGATGGCACATGGTTCATCAATGGAAACGTAGAAAATTGGCTAACCGAGATTGCCAATCTGTCTTCAAACCTCTTAAGTAGCATCCTCTCAGTATCAAACCCCTGTGCATTACCTGAAATTATGGGTAACGATTCCCCATAACATGGACGGGGATGAGACATAGATGACCCCTCTCCTTGATGTGCACCAGAAGAGATAGAACCATTCCTAGAAACACATGGAGTGCAAGATGAAGCAGGTGATGCAGTGGTGGTTTGATTATGGCCATGCTGGGGGTCTGCATCAGCAGATGACACATTGTTCATCAATGAAAACATAGAAAAATGGCTATCTGAGTTTTCCAGTGCACCTTCAGAACTCTTAACAGACATTATCTCGTCACTAAACCCCTGCTCATTGCCTGCAATTGTGGGAAAAAGTTCCCCATCACACAAGTGGGGATGAGATGGGGATGATCCTTCTCCTTGAAATGAACCAGAAGAGATTGAACTATCCCTAGAAACACATGGAGTGAAAGATGAAACAGGTGATGCATAGGTGGTTCGATTATGGCCTTGCTGGGAGTCTTCATCAGCAGATGACACCGAGTTTGGCAATCCATCTTCAGAACTCTTAAGTGAAATCCTCTCAATATCAAACCTCAACTCATTACCAGCATTTCTGGGCAAAGACTCCTCTGATAACAAACTGCTTTGAGATGGAGAAAATGTGCCTCTTTGAATTGAGCTTGAAGGGCTTGAATTTTTCCTAGGGGAACCTAAACAGTAATTTAAATCAGGTGTTCAAGATTTCACATGCACAATAACAGAAGAAGGTTGGTTCAGCTCAGAGATTTCATGGGCTATGGCACTTTTATGTTCTTTGATTCACACAATTTGCAATCACTGCCTTTAAAGAGTTTAACTTATTAGGAGTAAAATATTGCAAATATTTGAAAATTTCTTGTTTTCTGTTTTCTTTATTTTTACTTCTAATTTTATTATTTTGTTTTTAAGAAAGCAGCAATTTGTACTTTAGTGCATCTTTAAGAAAGTATTTAATCTTCTATTTAAAAGTATTGTTATAATTGAGTATAGTCATCATTTATGTATCATTTTATAACAATAACAATAACAATGTTGAGAAATTTTTTTAAAACAATTTATAATATGAAAAAGCAGTGACTTATAGTTAGTACATGATATGATGCACAATATCGACCCATAAGGCAATAACTAAGGTAAGAGGGTTGAATAGAAACTCATAAAGCAAGAAAAATTAATGATATAATCTAAACAACCATCATTTTGCTCCCTCACTTATGCTTTGGATTTTTGTTGTTGAAAGTTATTGTTTTTTTGACGAGTGGAAGTTATTGTTAAAAAAATGTATATGCACAAAAATAAGAGCTCTCTTATCATGTATTTGAGGAGGTTATGCAATTGCAAATATGTATGATTCACATTCTTCAGATATACAAAGAGCATTATACGGAGTATGAATTAAAAAAAAAAAAATCAAAAAAAAAATCAAAAAAAAAATCCGAAAAATTAATGAAAATAAATAAATAAACAACAGCCAGCACAGAGCTATGAGTTTTACATACCGATGGAGAGGTGATTTTCTCCTCGACTCCGGAAAAATGACCGATGATGCAATAACTTCTTCACCGCGAAGAATAGGCCGCTGCGGCCACCGTTACCGCTGCCGTCGCCACCAGACATGTTGTGCTTGAGCTGAGCTTCGAATCCGAAGAAAACCTGGCAGCAGATTTTGAAGTAGAAGCCACGAAGAATTTCCACTATATAAACTGGAAAGCGTCCCCTCCATTAACTGTTTTCTGGTAAATTTCTTCATACTTTCCAGAGCTTTGCAGTATGAAGTATGAACTCATTGAATGTGGCGTTTCTCTGTCCAAATAATTGGCAATGTCTAGCGGTTGACTGGAAGTCTTTGGCACCGTGTTAATTTCACCATCTTTTCTCTGTTGCTTATAAGTCATTTTTTCAGTGGCCCTCGTTACAAATTTTACATTAAGATTTTAAATGTGGAAGCAAACAATGAAAATACACATAATATTTTTCTAATGTCATGTTTCTTTAATTTATGAAAAAAAAAAAAAATTGGGTGACAACTGATAAATTGTGAGTAAAGACGCATAATCGAGCATGACAATCACACTGTAAGAGTTACATTTAATGTGTCGAGCTTCTTGTGGGCCCCATATACCTTCACAAATCCCGTCGTGGCGGGGTGTGGGGCGAGAAATTTCGATGAAATAAATTAATATAGATTATTCATAACTAACCGACATATATTAAGATCATTAGACAGTCTCCGAAGAGAGTTAAACGTAAAATTTTATATTCTCGTACCTAAAAAATTATGTGGTGGAATTAATTAAACCGGGGGTCCGACTTAATTAATCCGAATAAATGTAACAAGTATATAATTGAACGATAATAAGGGTACGAATATAGTCACGAGGACTGATATTGATATTGTATTAATGGTGTATAAAGTGCTATTACAGAGGTGTAATACTATCACAAGTAGTAGTTTAGGACAAAAGGTAGAACATGCCCTTAACAAGACAATTACTAGGCTATTTATATAAAGGAAATTCCAACCAACAATTGCTAAATTGGTGGAGGGCCACGGAACTAAATCCAAGCCCATGTGGTGGGCCGTGAGACTTAGTCAAGGCCCAGCATTCTGGGCCCGGAGGTAAGCTCCGGGCTTGAGACTCTTCTTGGGCTGCTCGGATCGGGTTATACATTTCCAGACCCGGGTCTCTATTATTATTGGGTCATTTCCAATATATCCATCATCAGTCCCCCACTCTCTAAGTTGCGAGAAGTCGACAACGAGAGAGAGTAAACGTGTGGCCCAATTGAAACCGCTCGAGGCTCCAGGCTTGGATGAATGCTTCAGGGTCAACTTGAAAAATATTTCACTTATTCCAACACCTTCTAGGCTTTTAGCTTTGTGATCCGAGTCTTCATCGCTCGATAGCGGGTTATCCGGACGACGCAGGGTCGCTTATTTGATATTTGCTCGCATAATTTTGTTTTGTGTTTTTTTTTTACGTAGTATGTAGTTATTTGGCCAAGGGTACTCTTGGTCCAAAAACTCTTCCGTTGGGGTTAGTACGCGAGGTCGGACCTCGTGCCCCCTTAGGGTGATAGCTCTTCGACCTATGTCATTTGACACCGGGCCGTTAGGCTCTTCCGTCGGGGTTGGTACGCGAGGTCGGACCTCGTGCCCCCTTAGGGTGATAGCTCTTCGACCCGAGTCATTTGACACCGGGCCGTTAGGCTCTTCCGTTGGGGTTGGTACGCGAGGTCGGACCTCGTGCCCCCTTAGGGTGATAACCCTTCGACTCGAGTCATTTGACACCGGGCCGTTAGGCTCTTCCGTCGGGGTTGGTACGCGAGGTCGGACCTCGTGCCCCCTTAGGGTGATAACCCTTCGACTCGAGTCATTTGACACCGGGCCATTAGGCTCTTCCGTCGGGGTTGGTACGCGAGGTCGGACCTCGTGCCCCCTTAGGGTGATAACCCTTCGACCCGAGTCATTTGACACCGGGCCATTAGGCTCTTCCGTCGGGGTTGGTACGCGAGGTCGGACCTCGTGCCCCCTTAGGGTGATAGCTCTTCGACCCGAGTCATTTGACACCGGGCCGTTAGGCTCTTCCGTCGGGGTTGGTACGCGAGGTCGGACCTCGTGCCCCCTTAGGGTGATAACCCTTCGACTCGAGTCATTTGACACCGGGCCATTAGGCTCTTCCGTCAGGGTTGGTACGCGAGGTCGGACCTCGTGCCCCCTTAGGGTGATAACCCTTCGACCCGAGTCATTTGACACCGGGCCATTAGGCTCTTCCGTCGGGGTTGGTACGCGAGGTCGGACCTCGTGCCCCCTTAGGGAATGCATTGAGCGAGCGATATATTTGTTTGTTTTGTTTTATTTTATTTTCTTTTTAAACCGGAATTGGCCCGCGAACCGTGGCTCAGACGACGTAGTTCACAATGATCCGGGACCGTTGGTCCTCAGACTAATTTTGCAATAAAAATACTTCAATATAATAAATGGATCGTTGGGCGGACTAACGCTCATGTAATAAGTTAAAAGTAGGCTTTCTGTCAGCTAGTGAGTAGGGACGGGCCCCGTATCACTGTCCGTGAGAGTATGCCAAAGTCGGGGCCGGCGTGCATGACTATGACCATGAATCAACCTTTATATTCTATTTTGATGTAATAAATAATTCGGAGTGTTCCACATGGCCTAGTGGTTCACTGATTAACATATATAATTTGATTAACTAAGAAAAATATATAATAATATTATATATGTACCTATGTGGTGGAGGTGCATGCATGCATATATGGATTCTCCAAATTGTGGCCGCCCATCTCACTGTCCATTTCCTACAACATTCTTCTTCACCCAGGATTTGCCACCACTGGAAAAAAATGTGCCGAATAAGAGCCTTTGTGTCCACAAGCAGTGGGAATTGCAGAAGCACAAAGGAAGAGACGGAGAGACATGTTAGCGCCGCCACTACAATAATAACCCATGTTTTGTTTTGCTCGACGAGATAGGCCGTCGTAGAAAACGCAGCTATCATAAACATGTTACGCAGAAGAGCAGGGTGAAGAGACCCCGGTTAATCTCTTGGGAAGAGCATACAAGCCATCTTTGTTCATTTGGAGAATATTAGGAAGCCATCTTCCCCGCCATTGCATATCAACTCAAGGGTTATATTTCTTTCACCAGCGAGTATGTCATAGTCGAAACATTTCTCCAATTATTTCACCACTTTTTGGATAAACGCTCATCTTAATAGCGACCTAGGATGTTGTCTAGCACCTCCCATGGCAGACTGCTTATTCTATCAACTATGTCCACCTGTGAAGGTTTCTCCACCAATTCATTTTCAGCCTTTGTCATCTTGGGCAGCAGATCGAATGGATGATCAATATAATAGCCTCAATAGCGCTCGTGCAAATGGAATCCGATAGAGAGATAGATCAAAGCACTCCATTTCGCGTCTCCTTCATGCGACCCGGAACTTTCGCAACTGCTTGGGCAAAGGGGTGGCAGTTTCGGTTTGTTCGCCACACTCACCGTCAACAACATTAATTTCACCGGAAGAGAAAAGTTTCTTGATATCAAGGTCTAGAGCACCCCATCGCGATCTTGAACTCTGCCATTAATTAGCGTCGCTAGAGCTGTTTCCGATGATTCATGAATCATTCTCCATGCTAATGACCGCCGAAATTCAGGACGACGATGACTCGAGCGTACAAACGTTGACGGTCGATGAGGATTCCGACGTACGGAGCAAGGAGCGTTAATGAGCACTGCTTCGTTTAACGTATTATGGATAGGTGGGCGTATTTCTTCCATGCGTCCATTTGTGCTGCTTGTGGAGCAAGAGGATGACGAAGGTCGTGCGCTTTTCTCGGGGTAATCTGAACGTTGTCTTCATTTCTTTTTTCTACAACAGATTTCCCGATTCTATTTCCCTCATCACCGGATTGTTGAGCAGCCACGATATTCTCTATATCTTCCATTGCTGGAAATTTGCAGGGAGCGAAAGGAAACACTGCAGATCCACCTTTATATATTCAACATGAATTTTCTTTTAACCACTGCATGCCCTCAAGATCCCTGTTGATAGAATATTTAGGCTTGATGATGATCAACAATCATTTGGATCTCTTAATCGCGCGGAGCAAAGAAAAACATGTAGCAGCTGCAAATAATTTGGGTACTGTGTGAATATCTTCATGACAAAGCCTTGGACTGAGCACAATTCACATAGCCAATAACGCTCAAAATCTCTTCATGATCAAACTTTATCAACATATGCTTGTGATTAAGTATGCGTAATGTAAATGCCCCGGCCCTCCAGAACCAATATTTTTGAAGGTTCTCTTGTGAAATTAGCGAGCGAATTTGAATATGTGAGAGAGGACCTCGATCAACACCGGCCGGGTTAACAGAGGTTACGTAACCTACTGCATCTTCTCATGCGTAATCCAGGCCAGGATCATCGCACCACGGATTTGCGATGCCGCAGATGGTAGTCGAATAAACGTATGTGTCAGAATTCCACATTTCCGCGCCCGACACCGTTTTTATGGTTGCGGGAATGCAGATCTTCAATAGTATTATCCTACGCACGGTGGAATTCAGATCAGATTTTGATTTTTCCATGCCGTGCTATTTCGATGTGCGATTAGTGGTTATCGAGATATGCTCCACGCGCACTCGATGCAGCAGTTCTACTGAGAATGCGAGATCATCAATACGTCAGACTTCATCTTCAGCGACAGTGCGATCGTGTTCGAGAGAAGTGGAATCTCGGCCAGGATTAGAGAGACCCGGCGGAAGAGAGCCAGAGGTGATGGCTTTTGGAGACTCCACGGCGTCATACGTTGGGCGGCCATGGAACTTTTATTCCCGCATGGTTGTCATATAATTGTACATGAGCAATGCAACCCCGCCATTGTTTGAACTGGGATCTGATCGTGCCATTGTTATTGTTTGAACTGGGATCTGATCTTGCCAATGTTTGAAGGTTGGTTCCGTAGAAATATGTTGATTAAGGAGAGCACGCTTGAGCTTGAACAGCCGCTCTCAACAAGAGCACCAATGGTGGAATTAATTAAACCGGGGGTCCGACTTAATTAATCCGAATAAATGTAACAAGTATATAATTGAACGATAATAAGGGTACGAATATAGTCACGAGGACTGATATTGATATTGTATTAATGGTGTATAAAGTGCTATTACAGAGGTGTAATACTATCACAAGTAGTAGTTTAGGACAAAAGGTAGAACATGCCCTTAACAAGACAATTACTAGGCTATTTATATAAAGGAAATTCCAACCAACAATTGCTAAATTGGTGGAGGGCCACGGAACTAAATCCAAGCCCATGTGGTGGGCCGTGAGACTTAGTCAAGGCCCAGCATTCTGGGCCCGGAGGTAAGCTCCGGGCTTGAGACTCTTCTTGGGCTGCTCGGATCGGGTTATACATTTCCAGACCCGGATCTCTATTATTATTGGGTCATTTCCAATATATCCATCATTATGAGTTCGATTTTTGTCAACGCAGCTCTATTCTTATATAAAGGAAAAAAAATGCATTCAACTTCCTTTTTCCTTAATTCACAGTAAACAAAAAAATGTGGAACTTACATGCAACAAGATTTGTTGACATTCATAAATAAAGTAAATTGACAAGGTGCCATTTGAGCTTCTATTGATCATAGGAGTTTTTCTTTTTCCAGATCTCAACAAACCCTTTGATACCTGTGAAATAGGATTGTTTCTGCATATACAATTTCCATCATCACAGTAAGTTGTCCAAACTTTGTATCTATACATCATCATCACAGTAAGTTGTCCAAACTTTGTATCTATACATCATCAGCTTTTGGCTACATTAACATTCCTTTGGTTTCTAAAACAGCCAAGAATGCCCTGTGCCTGCAAGAACCCGAAAACACAAGTCATCGGCATTGAACATATATATAATATATAAACATAAATGTCCAGTCCAACTATCAGCTTAGACTTTTAGTTCAGATGGAGCAGATGCTTCAGAATAAGAACATAATGATACCTTTTCTCGTGCTCTAGGCGTGCCACATCGCGACAGGGACACTAATGGCGGGACAGCTCCAGCCCGGAGAGCCATATTGCAGTGGCGAACACTGTTATTGCATAGTTGCATGAGAGCAGCGGCGGCGTGCTCCTTGACTCGTGCGGACCCCAGCTCGACAGCGTCAACCAGGACCGAGATCCCTCCTTCCTGCCCGATCGCTATTCTCCCGAGGTGAATGGAGGAAAGATTGGACAAGACAGCAACCGCTTTGTCAATCATCGCGGCTGCAGGGTCCATCAGCTCGATGAGGTGCTTCACGGCGCCCGCCTGCACGATTCGAGCCTTGTTTTCGTGAAGTATCGACAAGTTAAACAATGCAGTTGCTGCATCTTTCTTGCCCCGGGGAGTCCCGTTTCCCAGTAAGGTAACTAGTGCGTCTATTGCCCCGGACCTCCCGATCTTCATCTTACAGTCCTCGATGACGGATATGCTGTAAAACGTGGCAGCCGCGTTTTCTTTAGCCTCGGGGCTGCCTGTCTCGAGGACATGAACCAATGGCTCGATTGCCTCAGCGTTGGCAATTGCATACTTGTTGTTATCGTTAATCGACAAATTGAGGATCGCTGTGACAGCGTTTTCCTGGACTATCGTGTCTTCCGAATATAGCAAGCTAACTAACACAGGGATAGCACCCGAATTGGCAATCACGACTCGATTGTCCATGTCGAGCTTGGCAAGGAAACGAAGCTCAGCCGTTGCACTTCTCTGCACATCAACCGAAGGCGACTTCAAGTCCTCGATCAGCTCCCTAGCTTTTTCCTCGACTTCCACGAGATCGGGCCTCGTTTCGGTTGCAGACGAGGAGGAAACTATTCTTGGGAAAAACCTTTCACACTGTCTGCTCCATTTTGGGATAAAACGAGGTCTTGGGGCTGGCATGGACGATAACTCTGACTCGATCCTCGAGGCAGCCAGGGCAGAAGCAGGCTGAGATCCCGAGGCATCAGAAGAGTCATTAGTCCTTGAAGACGTCTCGTTCCCGTCGCTACTTACGACTGAAAAACTCGAATGGCTTAGCGTGCTGGGAGCAGAGGTGGTTCGATTATGGCCCTGACGAGAAACTTTTTCGTTTTCAGCTAATGCCATTGCAGAAAGTGGCATAGAAAAGTGGCCACCCGAGTTCATACTTCTACCTCCCGAGCTTCCCAGCTTGTCTTCGTAACTCATTAGTGGCATCCTCTCCACATTACCGACAATTCCAGGCAAACATTCCTCCGAAGATGAACAAGAAGATGATGCCTCACTTTGAACTCCACTAGAAGATAACAAACTTTTCCTCGGGGAACCTGTAGAATGATTTGAATCAGGTGATTCGACGCTATTCTCCATCGGATCAGGCGGGATAAGGCTATCCCTAGGCACACCACATTTCAAAATCGCCATAATCGAAGAAGGCTGATTCGAGTTCAAACACTGCACCGGATCAGGCAACTTTACATCGTTCATCACACACCAATTCTCAATCAGTGCCTTAACAGTGTAATTAGGAATGAGATTCGTGTGAGCCAAAGCTTGTCGTGTCTTAGGGCAAACAACGAGGCCGAGATCAATCCACTGTCGAATGAAGGTCCGCTCATACGTCTGTCCCGACGCAACAATCACCGGGTCGGTCATTAGCTCGAGCGAGAGCGAACAGCAGAAATCAGCAGGTATGGGCACGGGGGAACATTTCTCGGACTGTTTCATCGTAACAAGGTGGTTGTGCATACGAGTAACGAGACCCACGATCCGTTCAATATACTCGACTTCATCGAACCTATCGGCTTGTTCAGCATTCTCCTTCAATTTCTCAAGGGACACAAGCTCGATAAGAAGCTCCTGGTTCGAGTTTAACCTCGTATAGTCTGCAATTTCGGCCAAACTATCCAACTTAGCTCCAGGACTTTCCACTTCTTTTACTGCTTTACTGATTCTCGTAGATAATAGTTCATAATCCATAGATTCGATTTTCAGTACACAACGCTGCAATTCATACACATAATATCCAACATAAGGAGCTCGAAAAGGAATTCTTACAAATCGATAAAAGAATGGAAGCAAATGTTATAACTAAGAATCTACCCAGAATAGGAATGTGAGCATATAGCCATTAATGTGCAATCCAATTATCAGCTTAGGCTTTTAGTTGAGATGGAGCATATGCTTTAATTTGGTATTAGAGCCAGACCAAAGGTCATGGGTTGTTTGCCGTTGAGATGGAGCATATGCTTTAATTAGGAATAGCACTAACCTCAAAAGATGCTAAACTCGATTCACGAAGCCATCCATTAGAAGACACGAGTAGCTCGATAACTGCCAGGCTGCACGTTCGAACTTTTGCAATCAACGACTCGGCTTGCAGAACCTGAATATGCCCATACATCAGCAACATAGAAATAACATAGTATCTGAAAGACATGAAACCTCTTCCCAAATCAAATTCTAAATGGTCTTTATAGGAGAGAGGAAACATAGAACTACTTATTATCCAAGGTTTTGCAAGTCAAAAAACGAAAAGCATAGATAGATATAAAGACGTACAAAATAGACTTTACTGTTCAATATTTCCCAGGTCTCGAACAGCTCCCGCAGTTCATCAATTGCATTACTCAGTTCCACATACGCCTTCTGGAGCCGTTCAGAAGATATTTCATTATCAACAACGCCATTGAGAACTGTCTTTAATGGATTCAATATGGCTTCAGTCTCCCGATAGTATTTATGAAACAATTCGAGATTTAAGCTTGGTAGTGATGATAGAAGGAAAAAGTCAGAGATGTTGTTGAGAAGCACATCTAGTAAAGGAATCCCCATTCCCCGTGTTTCTAGGAGAGCGATATGATGACCCTCAGCAACGAAATGCAGTATCAATTTGCGGTATCAATATTGGAGCACACACGTCCTAGAGAAGTTGCAAAATTCATGCATAAAGTACCTGGAAAACTCACCATTGAAGAGTATTAGTTTGCAGTTTCCACAACATAAAGAAAACTCGTAAACTTGGATAGGGGTGAACAAAAACCATTAACATCAACAATTAGAATAGATATAAACAGCCATAGGCTAATAGCTAATTTACAAAACACTTTTCTACAATCAGCTAATGCTATCAACTAATCAAACCCACTAACCCAATCGGCTAACAGCTATTTATCAAACACCCCCGAACTTATAAGGTATCCCTCCCCCCCTACCCCACCCCCAGCCCATATTTAACCTATCACTACCCAGTACCCACCATTCTTCACCCTTCCACTGCTGCCAGTAAGCATTAGTTCCAAGATCAGAAAATTATTTTCTCCCTAAAAAAAAATTACCCAAAAAAGTCATAAAGACTGCAGCTTTTTTTCCATGAAATCCAACAAGCTTCAAAATTCAAGCATTTATCTATCAATTCAACCACCATGGTCAAATTTGACCGGGTACATTTCCAGTTGGTTTGGGAATTCACAATTCTTCAAGAAACTACAATACACACACAGAATTAAAAGGGGGAAAAAACTTAAAAACCCATACCCATCTCTGGAAACTGAGTCTTGGTAACACTACACACAAAACAGTTTAACAAAGTGGATTCCATATAGATTAAAAACAAAATCAACACAAGAAGAAGAAGAATGGAGTCGAGGACTTACAGAAGTGAGAAATGGGGAATCGTGAGCAGGGGGGGCGATGGAAGGAAGAGAAATGGAAGGGGGAGAGATGAGTGGAGACAGAGTCAAGAGTTTGATTTCTGGAATACATAAAGATCAAGAGTTTAACGACCTCTTCTCGTGTTTTGCTCCTTTTGCCGCGTTCAAATTTCTATTTCTTTATTTGACTTCAACAAATTTATTCCATCTTTAAAAACTTGACATTTTCTTCGAATTACCTTAATTAGAGTTTTTTCATTATGCTAGTGTATAATCTCTTCTAGTTTTCTAGAATCTTTCTATTCTATCAAAGAGTGGGTTTTGATTTGTTATTGATTTACATCAAAAGTTTGTTACTGCTACCTATCCTACAAAGAATCACAATGATATAAATCAATTTTAAATTATTCATAACTTACGGCCTTTTTTGATTTACAACAAAATCCGTAGCCGCTACATAAATGTGGGCTCTATGCTAAGTCAGCATTGTGACCTAAGTTAAAATTAATCACATAAATGTAAATCAGCATGAGTTATTCATATCTGACCATCTCAAATCAAAGAAGTCAATATACAATTTTTACGGAAAATCAAATTTAAAATCTTGTACTCTCTCTGCTCAATTTTATATGTTCGGTTTGATTAATGAGACTTGAATGGAGTTATTTTTAATTCAATTTTTCATGATGTTAAGTATAGTTTTTGTATATAAAATGTATATATTTAGAAACTATATTAAACGTACTTTTAAACCCAAAAAATCAAATTAAAAAATACTAAAGAAAATAAATAAAGAAGAAAGAGTTAGTTCGACTAATAAATATTAAAATGGCAAGTAAAATGTAAAATATAAAGTAATAATTATTAAGTTAACTATTTATCCAATTTGAGTGGAGATTAAACCATTATTTACTAAATGGTTTAATGATTACTTATTAGTTATTACCCATCAATCAACATTAGACAGCAACTCAAGTTGGATGCATCTACGACTATGTCCAAGCAAATGAAATTTGGAGCTTAAGAGGAAAACAAAACAAAAACACTACATTAAACAGGGTGAACAACGCCACAAACTCGGTAAAAACAAGTGGTTTGACTGCTTCATGAGGCAACACTTAAAAAAAAAAAAAAAAAAAAAAAAAAAAACATTATGCTTGAATATAACACAAAGAAAACTATTCATAAAAACCATTAGCATCAATTAAATATACAATATACACTGAAAGGGGTGATCAAATGGATAAAACATAATTCTTATACTTAAAGGTCACGGGTTCTATTTTTGTCAACCCTTCTGGGCCGAGCCTATTGCATGAGATCTTATAGTGCAATTTATCTTTCTTATATGGTTTGCAGATTATTATACATGAACGAGATTTACTCAATGTATACTATAGAATAGTGATTACAAATTTATCTCGTCATCTAAAAAAAAAAATTTAAAGTATAAACAATTTGTTCAACAACCATAGAATTCTTAAATTTTCCAAAAAATAAAAAAGAAAAGAAAATGGAAATCAATAACTCTTTTTTTTTGGTCAGCTTGAGAATAACTGGTTTGACGGAGCACAAAACGTTTTAAAGCGAGGATGGTCATTGGTCATGAAACGACCAAACAGAGAAAACGACTTATTCCAGATACAATAACGGGTCAATTGTCGTTCTTTACATTATATTCATCTCAGCTGTAAACACCACATGATTAGAATGCCATTGGCTATATTTCTTAATTCTTATTATCAATAGCATAGTATCAATTCTTTTTAAATAGTAACAACTTTAAAGTCAAACCTTAGAAGTTGATCACCATGCAAACTGAATATTTATTGTATTTAATTCTTCCAATTTGTGATCATAGATAAGCAAATATTTGTGCCAAAAGTTCAGTGTGGTGAAAGGAGTCTAGTGCAATTGACACAACAATGAACAATTATAGGGCAGATAGAAGCAGAATAACAGAAACTTAAAAGTAACAAAAGTTCGATGAAAGTAAAAAATAAACACAAAATTTACGGCTCATTCCTTTGACAAGATCAGTACCGGTTAGTTGATTCAGGAAAACAAAAAATTCAGTTGAAGGTTGATTCCAAGCTAACTTGCAATAGAAAATTTTAGTCTCTGATCCAATTGTGCAAGGGAAAATGCAATGAAGTATGCCCAAATTGAATATTAACCTTCAAATGGTGGGTTCAGTTACTTCCTTGATTTCTTCTTGGATGACTTGGAGGTCTTTGGTTGGTCGGCATTGGAGTTCTGTGAGGCTCCTTTGGGATTGGCAGTTGGATTTGGTTTCGATGTGCTGCTACTGGAAGCTTCTTTGGCCACTGCGCCTTGTGAGCCTCTTATTTGTGCCGCTCTTTTGTCCTTTCTCTTCGGTCTATAGCTGGACCTCTCTCTCTTTGGAAGCCAGCGCTCTGGATCTGGTGGGGGACCTGGATTTGCGGGATCAAATCCTTTAGGGTATCTAGGCTTTCTCTTTCTCTTCTTCTTTGGTTTCTCCTTGCTCTTGGTTTCATATGCTTCGGCTACACTAAGAGTAGGACCACTACCAACACCCTTGGCACCAGAAGTTTTCTCCAAACTATCAATATCAACCGCCTTCAAACCAGGGAGTGGTTTCAGCTGCTTTTCGTAAGCTTCTGCTTTTTCAATATCAGATTGAGCAGTTGTCTGGATCAACCCGACTAAAGCCTCTATACTTCCGTGGCTTTTAACCAGCTTCTCATATAGCCGGGCAGCCTCTTCCTTCCGCCCATGTCTGAGTTTGAATGCAGCAGCCTCTTGCATGATGGTATCAAGCTTATTGTCTTCAGTCATGGCATTTGACCACCATTCAATTGCAGCATTAAACACTAAATCAGCACCATCAATATCCCCAGCCCGTTCTTTGAGAGTAACAAGGGTGGCAACAGTCGCGGGCTTGTGTTGAATATTAGATAATTTACCAAGGGAGTCAGCTGCAACTTGGTGGTGGCCAGCAGCTGCAGCAACCTGTGCCCTTGCAAGCAAGACAACCTTTGACTTATCTGGAAACTTCTCTGCAAATTGCCCTAGTACTTCTTCAGCTTTAACTGCCTTGTTTTCCCTTACATGTACAGCAGCTTGAAGAAGTAAAGGGATTATGCTATCAGGAAATATTCTGGGCAATGCAGCTACAAGTTCTCGAGCCTGTAGGTTTTTAGTAATCAGAAAAATACACTTTTCAACACACATTTGTGAAAATTAATAGCAGCTGGGAAAAAAATGAACATAAGATACAAGAAACAAGATGTATGACCTGGTCCATTTTATTAGAATGAAGTAGTAATAGCGCCCAATTGGTATATATTGCTTCCCTTTGCTTTGGTGAAAGCTTCAAGTCAAGTCCTCGGGCAAGCTGGAAGCGCAATGGTCCATCATTTTTCTCTATTAGCTTATCGATCTTCCTCAGACTATCAGAAACATCTTTAGGTCCCTTCAAAGCAATAAGGTTATTTATTGCGACTGCAAGTGAAGAGTCATCCGCCAAATTTCGTTTGATAAGACCAATATAAGATTCAAGCGCTTCTTGTCTGTTTCCAAGAATCTGAGGAGAAAAAATCCATCCCGTATAAATGCAACTTAAATAAGGGAAGAAAATTGTGGAAAAGTCCTTGCATATGCTATACCATCATTCTACCTGCTGAACAAATGCCAATTGAACAGCTATAGGTGCCAATTCCAATTCAATATCTTCATCAGCTAGATTCTCTTCCATTAGTGATTCCTGACCAATTCTGCAAAAGTAAACACCAGCACCTAACTGGTTTTAGCTCAAGGTACTTGTTCACCAGTAATAAAGCATTGAGATAGGAAAACTTTAAGAAATTAAAGATGTAACACTTCCCTCAAAGACACAACATGCAAATCTGTACCTTCAGACTAGCACAATCTATGGAATAAGATTTTTATTATGTTTTCATACTGTAGGGTATTGACACTAAAAACTTTACAAAATACTACATAAAAAGCCAAAATGCCACCTAATAAAAAGGAAGAGGTCATGGGAGCAACAAGTGTGTTTGCACCCTGATTCCCAGAAATATCTAAAAGCATTAATGCTGAAGCTAGTTTTGGGGGCTCTCATGCACTCAAATGGGTAAATTTTAGTCAACATAAAGTTGAATCCCAATTTGATAGAACAGATTTATATACCAAGGGATTAGATACAACTCAGTTTTCCTCTGAATGAATTCATAGTTGAGAGCCTCAACGAAACCAGTTTGTCCACATTTAGATTTTTCATTATGGTAGTATAAGAATATTATATATATATATATATATATATATATATATATATATATATATAAATCTTACAGAATCTTACAAGTGTTAGGGGGGTTAATAAAAGCAGAAACAGTTCTAATATTCCAAAATCCAAAGTCAGCTTTTGTCATTGCATCTTAGAGGTCATACTAAGTCACATGTGCACACATGAACGCAAGAAAAAGAAAAGGCTTTGGAGACAGTTGTATTACCTTCGTGCTGACAGTAGCAGTTGCTCAGCATCCTTGTATTTCTGTCTTTCAATTAATGAGCACGCAGTGTTAAATGCCAACTCAAAACTGCTAGTTGGCTTAACTCTGAGAGAGTCCAAAATTCCCTGCACTTCAGGAGCCCTTCCAGCAGAAACCAAGACAGCAACAATATTTATCTCCAGTGAGTCTATCTTGGACCTCTGGAGTTTATGATAAATATCAACACACTCATCTGCTTTTCCCATACGATATAAAATCTGACATTCCAATAGCATTTTTTCAGAATTTTCCTCTTGCCCCTTCAGAGTCTCCAGAGCTTCATCCAACTTGTTTTGTCGATATAAGCAATATGCCTGGAAAAGAATAATACCCAAAGGTAAAATGGCATACTTCAATAAGAGAAAAAGAATAAAGTGCATGAGGACACCCACTCTTTTCACCCTTAATGGGCTGAATTGCGCAAATGCTTTAAATTCTTAATTTTTGAAAGGAGGAAACATTGAGAGAATAGGAAGAGATAACTGAACTAAGGAAAGTGAATTCTATTCAAGAGTCAAGACAACTGTTAATTACAATTTATTCACTTCTTACCTAATTCATTCTGTTCATTTAATAGTGCAAGTTTTTAATTTGTTTCAGCTAAAGAAATTTTCATTTTGAAAAATTTCTCCAAAATTATGCAAATT